TTAAAAAGCAAACCGTCGGGATACGCTGCCAAGATAAGTGCCGTTTCAAAGAGCCTTAACTCCTTTGTACACAGCGAGCGTGCACGGCCGCCGCGTGCTCGCCGCCGCCGCCGCCGCGCATCACTCCAGAGGAAGATTACCGCGAGTCTAACAGCAATGTAATTAATTTACTCTGTGTCGATGGAGAAAGAAAGGAGAGCAGATATCGTTACAATTGACTGTTTCTGTTTTTCCGAGGCGGGCGGCCGATAAGACTCCGGCTCTGGGATGATCTGGAGTTGCATTCTGGGATGAATCCACGCCGGGTTAGAAGAACATCGTACTGTACACCTCCTCCCTCCTCCCCCAACATCGAACCGATATACGTCACGGTTACGGCGGGTTTATTAAAGGTCGTTACCGTTAAGCGGATGGATACGTGGCGCTCGCCTCGCTCCGTATTTCACCGTCCTGGCCCTCGAGTGGCGGCTTCCTTTATTAAGTTCCACCGTCCTCGGCCCGACAGTTATGTCTTATAAAGTCGCATTCCGCCATATTTCACCGGAGCGGATGATGGCTTTTTAAAAAGGATGGCTCCCCCGCCTCGCCGGGATACGGCCGTTTTATTGTCCTCCCCTGCAGTGGACAGTGACAGAGCGGCCGGCTCTATGATGCCACTCCATCGTCTGGGTGTCGGCGGAGACCAAACCTGGAGTCAACTGCTGCTGCTGCTGCCTTTAACCCTCTGAACCCGAAAGGCGGCTCTGAAAGGCATGTTGCTCTCTTTAAAAAAAGATAAGACTGCCAGAAGTACACCATCTATCAGAGCCAGAAACTGTAAAAACAGAAAGACTCGCTGGATGTTTAACCGTCCTGAGTGACTCGTGTGCGACTTCCATCAGGGGAACATTTAACCAAACCACTTTATTTCTACTTGTTTCGTTTGAAAATCAGTGAAAAATAAACCTTTCGCTTTATTCAGATTCTGCAAAAAACAAATAATTCTGCACTCTTCTCTGCAGCTGTGAAGTTATTCATGACTCAGCAGTGACTAACGGTGACATAGCAAAAATTCAGAGACTATTTTTTTGGAGACAGTGTTTACACAGAGCAGATAGGAGACACGTAGTAAAATATTTATAACCTGTAGAGTCACCATTTGTTTTTAAACCTGTGGACACTTGGAAAAATGTTGGATTTTCATGTTTTATTTATTTCTTTTAAATTTTTTTGTAAAACATATCTATATTTTTTTTTATAAAATTGAGATTTCTTTTTGATTATTCTGTTATTTTGCACAGAAAACATTTTTTTTAAAGATCATGGAGAATTTAGACATCCTAAATGCCGTATTTAAAAAATAAACAAAAAAATTTCTGCACTAATTCTGTCGCTGAGAAGCTGCGACAAACAGTAACTTCACAACTGAGGGACAATTCGGTTGATTAGGGGAACTGAGAGCAAAATAAAACGTACGCGATCAACAAAAAAGTACTCGAATACTTGCTGGAGGATGCATTCTGCAGGGTGAAACATCATTCTGCAGTGAAGAAGACTATTTTTCAGATGCTAAAAATGTAAATAAATGGTTTTCCAGCGTTGGTAACACCCGTGGGCACTCAGACAACTGTCGTGCATGTAGACTCGACGTTATATTTCTACTTTTTCTTGCATTCTAACTCTGTCATCCTGCACAGAAGACACTTCTAAGTTCTCTCTCCTTCCAGTCCTGGTTGTTGTGTTTCTGTAGAGGTGCAGGACTTTATGTCGCAGTGAAAATCGAGCCCACAGCGAGTGAAAATGAGGCAGCAGCAGGAAACCGTTCGGGCTCCGGAGGGTTAACAGAAAAGCACCTCTGAAACTTCATGAACATCCTGCAACCGGCTTTAAACGGTCAGTCCTGATTTAATTTCGTCCATTTTCACATTCTGCTCAGTTACTCGGTTTTAAGGGTCAGCTCACTCAAATTTGCGAAATCTCACATTTTCTCATTTATCCATGCAAATAATTACACTTTCATTTGCCAGAAATTTCCCACATATCGACCGGCGAGGTTTCTCCGGCTCTGCCTCGCTGAGCAACCGTATTGGGGAATTTATTTTTATTTTTTTTTTAAATCCAAATTGAGGTCTGCTGATTATCCATCCAGAAATCTGTTACCGGAAAAATAGATCGTGGCTGGATATTTTCTTTTTTTTTTTCAAATTTAATTTTTAGATTTTATGAACCACAAAAATGAAATCACACTAATTTGAGCAGCAGCAGCGGGAGGAGAAACATCTGCTCCTGGATGGATTCAGCGAGAAAACGAGGGAGTTAAAGGGCAACGAGTCAGAGAACAAAAAGCTATTTATCCAGTCAGGTTTCTTCTGTGTGACGTTTATGGTTGATGTTTGATCTACAGGATGTGATTTCATTATGAGCTCAAGAAACCCAAACTTAAAATCTGAGGAGGAGAATGTGTTTTTTACCACCTGGTTGACCATCAACGCTGAGTAATGGAGCAGAACCTAAAATCAGACACTGACTCAGTGTTTGTGATGCTGTTCTTAATGACGCCGCCTTTCCAGTCCGCCAATCTACCCCCGACTAAACATCACTGAACGTAATGAACCTGACAAATTGCACCGAGTTGTTATTGTTGCATCAAAATTAAAAGCAATTAAAAACTGAGCCGGATAACGGAGCCGCAGAGTCTTTAAGGACAGAATGAAACAAAAAAAACCTGCGTGAATCTTTCATGTGAGGGTCGATAGCTGTGGTTTTCCAGTTAAACAGCTGAAAAATGAAGCACTAAAAGCTACAGTTTCTCGAGCGGCCACTAGAGGCTCCAAGAGCGAATCCATCCCCATTGACCTCCATGTTAAAATGTGCAACTTTACAGCAGAAATAAACACGTTCACAGCCTCATAGCGAAGCTGATTTTGGTCTCTACAGCTCATTTCTTCATTCATGACAACCGTACAGGGGGTGAGCTTTCATATAAGTCACCCGTTTGAATTATATCAAAGCTCAAAGTGATGCGTAAGTACGTTTTTGTTCTGGTGTTTGGTTCGAATACCGTGAGATACTACAAAATGTATTACTGAGGAAGGTTTATGCAGCACTATTAGCTATAACACCCTCAGAATGAGCGCATTGTTTCCATCTGCTCTCATGGTTCAGTGTTTTTACAGCAGATTTTTACGCATATTTTGAAGTACTGTATTAGAAAGTCAACAACTCTGCAATATGTAACTCACATGATCGATAAGCTGCTTCTTTCGTTGTGTTTAGCCTTCAGATAGCGTGAAACTTAGCCGTTAGCGGCTAACACAAAGAAATAAATACAACTTTTCTTGAGCGAAAACAATTCCTGAAGACTTTTCTCCAGCTTTGTCTCACAGATGGACAAAGTTTAGTTGATTTCTTGTCCTTCTTTAATATGTTTTAGAAATTAGCAAGCAGCAGGTTGGGTTTCAAGCTTCTGCTAAGCTGTTTATTGCAGCTAACGTAGCATGTAGCAGCCTAGCTTATTCACCTGTACATTTTGTGCAACATATAAATACGACTCTCCTGATTTCTTTTTCTAGTTTGGATAATTTTTTGGTTTTTAGGGCCAAAGTTTGTTTCGTCTTCTTCCAGCTGCTAACAGCTGGTTTAGTTCGCAGCTTTGTTTATTGCAGCTAACGTAGCCGCTAGCAGCCTAGCTTATTTAATTGCACATTTTGTGCAAAACATAAAGACAACTTTTACAACAATTTTAGAGATTATTTGTTTTTTTTAAAGGCCAAAGTTTTGTTTCTTTCTTCTTCTTCTAGGTGCAAACAGCTGTTTAGTTCACAGCTTTGTCTACTCTGCTTATTACAGCTAACGTAGCCGATAGCGCCACCTTGTGACGACACTACACAACTGAGTTTATTCATTCCAAACCAAACCTACATTTTTTGCATCATTTTAAAAAGTTTGCTTCACATTTCTGTGGAAACATGGCGACAGGAGAGTCCATAAGTTCACCTAAGCGCCATTTATTTGCTAATTTTTAGATTTAATGGAAGTTCGGAGGAGTCAGGAAAGATGGCGGCAGCAGAAGAACCGCGTCGAGGAGCTCAGGAGACCCATGTACAACGCCACAGAGGGTTTATCCATCTTTATATCCAGGTAATGATCAGAAACTCTTCTCGCTGAACACTTCCTGTCGGCTTCTTCGCTGCTCGTTGTCCAAAAATCCCACAAAACCGACTTCTTGAGTCCACAGGTCGAGGATCATGAAGGTTTGTCCACAAGCGAAGGAAATGTGTGTTTTTTCGACTCCAACACTTGCTAAAAAAAAAAAACTGCAAGAAATAAGTCCTGAAATAGCTTTTTACCCCACGACGAAACAACTCTCGCGTCTTTAAAGCTCTTCACAACGCAAAAGCTCGCGGGATCGAGCGGAAGCGACGCCATAAAGTATTCATAAACACACAAACACATGGCTGTCTTAATGCGGGGTTCGTTGAGGGAAACGACGGCGGACGGATCCTTTAGAAGGAAACCCGGATACTTCCTCGGCTGTCCGGCTGCTTCCCCCCGCCTCCGGTTACACCGAGGAGGAACGAGAGGAGGCGGCTCGGCATGGGGGGGGAATCAATTCAGCAGCGGATCTGCAATATGGAGCTGGGAGACGGACGGGGGGTGATCCGAGGACGACGGCGTTGGTGTGTAAAATAGATGCATTAAAGCGGAGGAGAGGCGGCGGCGGGTTTGCACGAGCCAAGCAGCCACCGGGGAGAGGAGCTGGTTCACCACCGGGCCACAACCATTCAACTCTGGCTGACCTCCTTCTGAAGCACCTCAATAATTCATCACACGTAGAAAAATATATTTATATACATCAGCATTTCCACACCCACCACCAGCACCAGCAGCAGCAGCAGCTTCCCCTCCACCCGTCTGCCAGTCATCAGCGAGCGGCTCAGATAGCTATTACCAGCCGATGCCGTGTGTGTGTGTGTGTGTGTGTGTGATATGGATGTGTTGGTGTGTGTGCAGGCGCTCACCATTAGATTTCTCGCTGTCTGCAGGTTTCATCTGAATCGGGTGGTGCATCTGAGGAGACAGAAAAAAAAAAACATTAAATATCGCTCGCACGTTTAAAAAAAACAAAACAACAACAACAATAGGCGGCGTTTCACGCTGCAGCTGCCTCGAATTAAATCCGAATGTGATTTAACCCCGCGAACTCCCCCGAAACACGCCCGTCGGGAATGAAACGCGTGTTGTGGTTAAAAAAAAATAAAGAAATAAATTTGCCCCCCAAAAATCACACCATTTATCAGAAAGCACAAACTGTTCAAACAGAAAAAAAAATCTGATTTTTCAGCTTTCTGATCGTCTTTGAGCAACTCATTGGGAAAATAAACCACATTTCAGCAAAATCTACTTTTTTCCACTTGAAAATTTGCCAAAAATGAACCTTTTCCTTCAACCAGATTCTGTGAAAAACAAAAAATTCTGCACTTCAAGATGCAACTGTGAAGATATTAATGGTCCATCTGCACCCGACAGTCACGTGACAATAATTCAGGGATTTTTCAGCAAATCAACAGCGACTGCATGGAAAAGTTTAAAATCATATTCCATCAACATCACTTTTTCCCCAACAGATCTCGTTCAACAATTCACCAAAAATAAACCATTTTTTCTAAACTGATTCTGTAAAAAAGAAAAAATTCTGCAGAACTCGATGCAACTGTGAAGCTGTTAATGACTCAGATGTGACCGAAGGAAATGTGGCAAAAAATTCTGGGACTTTTTTTTTGGCTAATCATCTGTACTGTGACACACTGTTGGGTTTGAAACCAAATTGAAGCTTAAAATCGTGACATTTCAGCAAAAATCACTTCATTCAACACTTAAAAATTCACCATAAATAAACAGTTTGTCCACTAATAATCTGTAACATGCTGCTGTGTGGGAAAACTTTGAGCTTAAAATCATAATATCGAGTCAAAATCACTTTTTTCTGCATGTCTCTCTTTTTTAAATCGACAAAAGTAAACTGTCAACAGATTCTGTAAAACACTAAAAATGATTTTCCCATTTGCACAAACATCAGTTCATTAATATCTCAGCTGTGAACAACAAATGTGACAAAAATTCAGCGACTTTTTAGCAGAACTGGGTTGAACTGCAGCGTTTACACAAGTATAGAAAGAAATTAAAAATCGAAATAATAAAGTCACTATTTTACCAGCATGACACCTGTGAGCACCTGAAAATGTTCCACTTGTCGACTCCAAGCTTTCAAATTGAAGTAAAATAATAATAAAATTCAACACTTGATTTTTTTATGATTTCTAGCACTATTACTGCATAGAAACACTTTCTTTTGTTCTTTCCCCTTCTAGTTTCCACACAGACTTTATACCGCAGAGCCCTTAGAAATGCTTAGAAACTGAGTTCAGACGGTTGAGGCGCGATTATTTACACGTCTTTAAGGCAACTTTTGTTTCAGGAGATAAGAAACGGGGCTTTTGGCTCCTTCCACATGAGATAGAGATCTGGTTTGTCCTTGAGCCCTTCAGTCCAGAAGGTGGCAGCGGGGGACATGAAGTCGGGAAAGTCCAGCAGACGCCAAAGAAACTGAAGGAAGAAGGTGAAGAAGAGGAGGAGGAACATGAGGAAGCTGCAGCAAATGCACAGACTGCTGTTGAGATAAAAGCTGGAACGACCAGAAACAAACTCGACCTTTCACAGTCGAGAACGTTCCTGTGTCGTCGTTCCTCCAGTTCATCTCCACAAACCACCGACTCGGACGCTCGTTTCATTTGTTTTGCACCTGAAATCCACCTGGATGGAAACTCAACACATCGTCTGCCTTCCTCTGACACTTCTTCCTGGTTCACCGCCGGTCAGCTTCTGCTCATCTGTGTCATCCTGCTGCAGACAGCATGAAGAGCTGAGGACCTGATTCCTGATCAAACTGTTTGATCTGAACTTTCTCGTGATCCCGATGCGTCACGTTTTCCCTCCTTCGTAGAAACGGGTCCGACTCCAGCGTCTGGACTCCTCGTCTCCCTCTGATGTGAGCTTTACCGGAGCCCGGTGATGGATGGATGGTGTGTTTAGGGTCTTTTCTTTTGTGGGGAAAACAAGACAACACTTCACACGCGAGGAGGCTTTTATTTTGTTGTTGTTGTTGTCGCCTCCTCTGTCCCTGTTTTTTTTTTTTTTTATTCCCTCCATCTCTCTTTCCTTTATGGGAGATTATGTGGCTGTTTGATCTGCGCAGAGACGAATGACAGTGATTCTCCAAATCTAGCCCGGTATCAATCACACTCAGAGTCAAATACCAGCCGGGAGAGTGTGTGTGTGTGTGTGTGTTAGTGTGTGTGTGTGTTAGTGTGTGTGTGTGTGCCCCGTCTTACCCAGAACGCCGCTGGGCTCAGTCACGCTGTGACAGAAGGCTTTGATCTTCCAATTCTATCACACACCTTTATCCCAACTCTCCCCCTCTTGCTCTCTTCCTTATCATCCTCGCTCGGCTCTTTTTTTTTTTCCCTTTTTTTTTCTCCTCTCCCAGACCTGTCCCAGATCCACACGAACACACACACACTTCAACACACTCAGTTCCTACGTCGGCCTGATGGGGGCAGTCAGGGGCGCAAGAGGAGGAAATAAAGACGGACACCGAAGGGAGGAATGAAGGAAATAAAGGATCAAAAATTAAGTAAAAGAAGAAGAAAAAAAGGTCAATTCAGTGATTGTTGGAGAGTTCAACATCAACTGTTTTCTACAATAATGAAGGAAAGAATTAAAAAAAAAATAAAATGCAAAAAAGAGGAAAAACAAAAATAGTTGAATATTTGATTTTTTTTTAATAGAAGGAAATAATTAAAAAAAAACATAAAAGAAAGAGATGGGGAAAAAAAGAAAGGGAATGAAAGAGACGGGCTGAAGGAGGGTAGAAAAATAAATTAAAGAAAGAAAAAATAATAGAAAGAGAGAAAGAAAAAGTAAATGATTGAATAAAATTTAAAAAAGAAAGAAAGAAAAAGAAAAGAAAGTAAAAAAAAGTGAAATTAAAAGAAAAAGAAAAAAAAGAAATAGTAAAAAAAAAAGCAAAATAAAAAAGACATAAATAAATAAATAAATAAAGAGAAAAAAGAAAGTAAGAAAAAGAAAGGAGTAAAAAAAAAGTAAAATTCAAAGAAAGACAAAAATAGGAAAGAACGAGAATAAAGAAAAGAAAGAATGAGAAAGAAAAAGAAAGAAAGGAATAGTAAAAAAAATTGTCAAAGTCAAAGAAATACAGGAAAATAAACAAAAATAGGAAAAGATAAGGAGTTAAACATGAAGTACAATTCAATGGAAGAAAAAGTAAGACAGACATAAAGAATAAAAAGAAAGAAAAAGAGCAAAAAAATAAGTGAAATTTAAAGAAAAAGAAAACAAAACAGCAAAAAAAAAAAATTCAGTCAAAGAAAGAAAGAAAAAAAAGGAGTTAAAAACGAAGCAAAATTCAAAGAAAGAAGAAGTAAGACAGATGTAAAGAATAAAAACAAAGAAAGAAATAAAGATGATCACGTAAACATGATGAAGTGATTCAGAAATAAACTCCAGAGAAGAAGAGGAGCAGCGAAGGAAAGACAAAGGGCAGCAGAACAGAGGCGTGACAGAGCCGTGATGAAAGAACTCTGGATCCTCCATCAAGCGACAGAAAGAAAACGAAGAAGACAAAAAGGATCAGAAGCAGAGCGCGAGCGGCGCCGGACGGACGGGAAGAATGGGTCGGCCTGCAGGCTGCCGGCTCGCTGCCGTATCGCTGACACGAGGACAGACGGAGGAGGTGTGGGTCTTTGTGTGTCTGTCTGTCTGAAGCCACATCAAACGAGGGAAAGTCGTGTCAAAGCGAACCTGGAAGTCACATCAAGTCAGTTTTCGTTAATCCATTTCAAAGTCTGTCCTCTGAAGGCGCGAAAAGAAAAAAAAAAAAACCCAACAGGAGAAAACAAAAAGGCCTGACAGCATCCGCCCACACGTGTACACAAACGCACAGGTACAACACCAAACGTCTGGCTTCCAGGCGTCTCCTCCTCAGGTCTGTCTACCCAGAATGCCCGGCGGGCGGGCGGGCGGCGGAGCTGTCGACATGTTTGATCTCGGCGAGCTCCCGCCGAGACCCACAAAAGCGAGACTCTCCTCCGCGATCCCACAATTCCACAGCGCTGTTTCTTCTCGCCTGGCAGGCCCACAGCCACAGCCTGCCATTTATTATGCGCTCAGCGGGCGCACCGGCAGAACCGCCGAGTCCTCACCGCGCTCGACACACATAAAAAAAACAACAACAACAAAAAAAAGTTGCCGACGTCGGAGCCATGTGTGCGGCCGGCGGGATGCTGCGCTGGCATTTAGCTCCTTAAACGTACGCGTCTGGTCGGTGGGCAGCGTCGTCGTCGTCTGCTTCCTGTTTACCTACAAGAGTTTATTCCTCCTGCTGTCTGTTTGTTCTGCTAAATCTGCAATTGGAAAGGTTCACGGAAGCCTCTACCACAAATTAATCGCAAAATGGTTTACGAAACAGAAAATTAAACATCAAAAACCTGGATAATAACGCACCACAACGCCAAAAACCTGCATGCAAAGGCAGTAAAATACTAAAAACCTGGATTATAAGGCAGTAAAATACTAAAAATCTGGATACTGATGCACCAAAATGTCAAAAACCTGGATATTAAGACATAAAAATGTAAAAAAAAAACTGGATATCAACCCCCAAAACATTAAAAGTCTCAATACTAATGCGTAAAAACATCACAAACTTGGATATTAAGACACAAAAATGTCAGAAAAGCATGATATTAACCCCTAAAACAATAATAACCTGAATATTAAAGCACCAAAACATTGAAAACCTGCAAATTAATGCACAAAAATGTCAAAAACCTGGACATTAACCCACCAACGCATTAAAAACCTGGATACTAATGCAGTAAAGCATCAATCACATGGATATTAACAGACCAAAATGTCAAAAACCTGGATATTAAGACATATAAACACCAAGAAACCTGGATATTAACCCCCAAAACATCAAAAACCCTGAA